GAAGACGGCAGAAAGTGGAGCGGATTACACGTATTCCAGAGAGACCAAAGGAATTAGACCTGAGATTGTCCAGAAGTCCAGGCAAGGCAAATCCTAAGGCAACTGCCGGAGAGTGAGTGGTTACGCACATTATTGTTACGCATGGGAAGCGTAGAATGTCAAACAAATCATTCCTTTTATACCTAGATTACTACATCCTGAATGATTCGCGTTTGACTCTATCCAGTTTTGGCTTATGCCAGCAGTTTAGCGATGGAGACGTATAAATTCTTTAATATTTATTTTATTTTGTAAAAGGAATGTATCTTACATTCGGTAGTTCATATATTATTGGGCCTTTGGGCTTAGCTTCAATATACTCGCTGGTATTTTGATCTTAATATTTTTGTATTCTTATTTGTAAGCACCTTGGCATACACTTCATAAATAGAAATAATTATGTCATTAGAAAATTCTAGTGTTTCTTTTTACTTTATCACTCTTAAATGCTATCATTTTGACAATTTTTTGTACATTTTGCTTATAATCGTTCTTGTGCTGCTTGTACATTTGAAAATTGGTCTTTGGGATTGCGGGATGTCAAAAGCCAAGCGCCGAAGGTTGGATTTCCCTGAGGTCAAAGGATGGGTGCCATATAAGCCTTTCTCAAAAAATAGTAGTTTTGCCGTTAGATCTGTCTGATATCCGTAGAGGAGGAAATATTTAAGGCATTCGATGAAAAATCGGAACGTGTTGATGTTCCTGAAGATTGGAAAGAACCGAAATTCAGTCCGGAGGACAATCCTAACGGTCGCCTTTACTCACTATCTACTTTTTCAACGCTTTTTCCGCAATATCGAGAAAAGTACCTTCGAGAAGTTTGGCCAGCTGTCGTAAAAATTCTGCGCGAACATGTACGCTTGATTATTTTTTCATGTGTTTTGCTTTGGATTTTGTTTCTCGGATTCAATTTTTGCTTTTAGTTTGTCAAAGCCGAGCTGGATCTTGGTGAATCCACAATGTCTGTTCGTACCACACAAAAAACCTTCGATCCATTTATAATTTTGAAGGCACGAGATATGATTCGTTTGTTGGCTCGTTCTGTGCCTTTCGATGTCGCTGCCCGTGTTTTGAACGACGAGATATTCGCTGATATAATTGAAATCAAGCTTAAAAATAGGGAGAGATTTATTAAACGACGAAATCGTTTAATTGGCGATGAGGGCAATACTCTGAAAGCCATTGAACTCTCAACCGAGTGTTACGTAATGATTCAAGGGAAAACTGTGGCAGCCGTGGGACCTTATGATGGTCTTAAAAAGGCTAGTGCTCAAAAATGAAGCTACGATTCCACAAAATATTTAAAATTTATTATACTTCTGTGTTATGCACCTGAAATTATGGGGTACTATTTTGTTGCCACAAGTGTAGGCCTTCGAAGCTTTTTGTTTCTTTGTATAGGTACGACAGGTTGTGAATGGATGTATTTACGATAATATACACCCGGCCTATTACATAAAGAGATTTGTTATCATCCAAAAGTTAATGTCGGATCCTAATCGGAAAAATATCTCCTGGGAGAAATTCCTGCCTAGTATCAAAAAGAAGACCCTTAGCAGACGAAGAAAACCTCGGAAGGTAAGATCTTGTTTATGCGTACATTTGATGCATTTTCCAACGGCCAGTGTTAGGTCTCGGTGCTTTAAAATGCTTAGCTCGGTAGGTAGTTGTGTCCTCTACTGAAAACATGTTACTAAAATAGCGAATAATGTGTTGATATCTGAGATCTGAGGTTTAAACTTCCTTTGTCAAAAGGTTCGAAAGAAGGGCGAATATACACCATTTCCGCCACCGCCACAGCCGTCAAAGGTGGATATCGAGCTTGAGAAAGGCACATACTTCCTGGCGAAAGCAGAAAAACGACGAGTCAAAAAAGAGGCAAAAGTGGCTACTTCGGAAGAGACCTCCAGAAGACGCCAGCAAGAGAAGCGTGCCGCAGCTTTCATAGAACCGGAGGAAAGGAAATAATGTGCGTTTATTCCTTCGGACAGACACTTTTTACCACTGATATATATACTATCTTGCTGCAGCAGAGTCAGGGCTGACTGTCAGCGTGCATGGACTTTTTCTAGGTTCATCAGCGTTCAGGGCGCCATCTACCTATTCTGCTCGTGCGATAACGATTGTGTTGTATTGATTGGGTTTTGTCTTCGAGGAACTGCTTCGTTTTGGCGTTTTTAATGGACAATACCAGAATTAGGATTTGAGCGATATCCACACCATTTGTGGCAAATTAGGTTGTAAGTATGGCGTTGGGTTTCAATCGCACAAGCATTTCAGTTTCTACGGATTCCAATTTGACTCCATGATAGAGCTTGAAACGTGCAGTGAGCGTTTGGACACTTTTTAGGACTGCTACTGTTCAGACGACGTATTAATTCGGTAAGCGGTGCGATCGGAAGGCCCAGTCGCGTTGAGGTTGCACGAAGTGGATTGCTTCAAATGGCTCTGCTAAAGATAGTCGCTAGTTGAAGCCTTTCTTCGTCAAACTCATTGTGCCGTTCAAAGAGGCGGAGATGAGGAGATATTGGGCATTGGCCTGATCCGAAGGTCAGGCTAATCGGGCATGGGCACTTGATTGGGCATAAGATTACGGAGTACTTCTTCCTTAGTTTTCTGGTCCCGGATACTGTTGTTTTGTGGGCGTATTGTATTAGCAGAGTTAACCGTGTGATAAGACTGGGTCCACCACATCTTGGGCTGCTTTGTTTAGTCGGCTTCCACTCGTCAATGTGGGTCGGCCTTCGATCCCACCAGAGGCTCTAGTCTTTCCTCCTCCTTGAAAACAGGTGTACAGTTTTATGGGATGCCGTTGTATGCCTGGCGATTAGTTATGCAATTGTTTTATATTCGCACGAGTGGTCTGATCTTCGGACGATGCCAATTTCCACTCACTTATTCTTCTGCCAGAATACTTGCTGAGGTTCAGAACTGCACCACTTTCGTCTCCTGAATGCGAGTTCAAGGTGCGCAACACGCTACGCTCGGGTGATTGTAAAGGGGATGTCAATATGTTGTTTGTGACATTTGCATTCCAACTGAAGTAATAAATATAAGCTAGGAGAATACAAGAGACTCGATATGACGGTACTGCAACATGGCAACGCGTTGCCCTAATATCTTACTCTTATGATAGCTTGCATGACTAGTGATCATTTAGAATACTTATCCCGAATTTATTTGTCGAATGGTCTTCTGAGTATATCGAAGCTAAGTCCCTCCAATTCTCCAAAATTAGCACGTATATACCCTACTCAAAGTTAAGGAAACCACGCACCGATTTCAAAATATACAAAGGATCTATTGACTGGTGCTTTTTATGTGATGAACTTTGGCAGCAATTTATGTGGCGTGACAAAAAAGAGCGATATTTTATGAACAAAACACAATTCTTTTAGCGGTGGCAAAGATTTATTTGTCTTTTTTATTTATAAAGATGCATTTATGTCTATTATTAAAGGTTTGCTTTGGTTTTAACAAATCACAGGTTACAGGTCATTGATACCTCTATTTACAAACGGTACCGAAACCGGACGATGAGTGCTGCAGTTCTCTCTCAATATTTCATAAGGCTCAACTAAATATTTCTACCCAAATTATCGGTGGCAGAAATCATGCGCCCAATCGCTGATTATTTCTTTATAGCTGGTCTAAATCCAGAAATTCAGCTTCAGCCTTATTTCCCCCGTAAGCTTTATGTTTTACTTCTCGATTACATAATGCCATCTCTTATATATCGACATTGGGTTGGCTTTCACTTCACTCTCACTATAACATCTTTATTCCTTAGGCGTCTGTTTTGTCCTTCGTATCCATTGTTGTTTTCGAGGACTGCCTGTATATTCTAAAGTAAAATTAGGTTTTACTATTGACAAGTCTGTATTAGTTATAGTTTTTTTCTTTCTAGTATATTTTTGCACGCTCTGATTTTCCGAAATACATATTCTGGCCAGTAAACTGTACTTGGTTGCGATATCATTCAGTCTGTCTTTGTTCATAGTTGATACTTGAATGAGTGTTAGAGCGTATCAAAAGGCAGTCTGTCCACTTGCATAAATTTTGGAGTCCTTCTTAATGCCTACAATTTGTCATGCTCGCCTA